GGTGCGCCCGAGCGCCCTTCCTGCCCCGGAACCGTGCCTTCGGCTCGGGCGAGCCCGCGGGAATGACTTGGATCTTGCATGCGGGGAGTGGGGAGCGCGAGCCTTCCGACAGACGATGAACCCAGGACCTGTCCTTAAAAAATTGCCCTTTGTTAAGGAAGTTGCGCTTCTTGACTAATACATGAGCTGGTGAATGACTAAGTGCGGGACTGCATTTTTACCTGCTCTAATTGCCTTTTTCTCCGATGTCTCTCTAGGGTGGATTTGCCAAGTGTTACGAGATGACAGATTTGACAACAAATAAAGTTTATGCTGCGAAAATCATTCCTCACAGCAGAGTAGCAAAACCTCATCAAAGAGAGAAGGTATGTATGCATGAATTATTTTTTTTATTTTATTTTTTTATTCTCGAGCTTTTTGTGTGCTGGATTGCCTACCCCTTTTCATGAAATGGTTCTGATAGAGCTGGCTGCTCAACCTTGTGGAAGTAAGGCTAACAACACCTTTCTTCTTTCCTACTGTCTTGTCTTTTCAGATTGATAAAGAGATTGAGCTGCACAGAATGCTTAATCATAGACATATTGTGCAGTTTTACCACTACTTTGAAGACAGAGAGAACATTTATATTCTTCTGGAATACTGCAGTAGAAGGGTGAGCATCAACTGGGAGAAATCCAGTATTTACTTACCTGGAATCTGCAACTAATTTATATGTGCGATGTGTAAAAGTTGGGTTTTTTTGTGGCTTTAGTTGTTTCTCTGTGCACTCATTTACTTTTGCTTAGGGTGAATTTTGTGCATGAATTATCAGTGACATCTCTGCTTGTGTTTTGCTTCTGCAGTCAATGGCTCACATCTTAAAAGCAAGGAAGGTATTGACAGAACCAGAAGTACGATACTACCTCAGGCAAATTGTGTCAGGGCTAAAGTATCTTCATGAACAGGAAATCTTACACAGGGATCTTAAGCTAGGTAAGTTCTCCAGATTGCTAGCTTCAAAACACATTCCTCCAGCCCCATCAGCATTGTACCACTTTATCATTTTATGGTGATTGTTTAGTAAAATCAGCTTAGTCTGTCTTTACAGTGGGAATTCATAGTGCATAAGGGATGACATTAAGCATTCTTAATTTAAAATATTAAAAAAAAACCCAAAACAAAAAACTTGCCTAGTTTCTGGCTCTGAACAAAGTATGACTCAGCACCTGTGGCAAATGCATTCCTACCTTGCCAGAGATGGACTAACTGGAATTTCTTTGTCTGCCAGGTAACTTCTTCATCAATGAGAATATGGAACTGAAGCTGGGTGACTTTGGCTTGGCAGCGAGGCTGGAACCACTGGAGCACAGGAGGAGGTAGGCGCATCAAAAATGTAAAGTCTAGTAGCAAGTAAAACTCAACTAGTATGAAAATGAGAAGTTATGTTCCATAGCAAAAGCTACTTACTGCCCCTCCAGTATCATGAAGACGTAACAAAAAAGCATCTATGGTGTCAAAGCTCCTACAGCTCCTCTTTAGATGTCTTAAACTCCTGTCTGAACTTGAGAGGAAAACCTGCCCTATGAGAAACAGCTCCTTCCTCTTTGTATTTGAAATACTAACCAGCTTTCTGGTGTCTTTGATTTTTCAGAACAATATGTGGCACACCAAATTACCTCTCTCCAGAAGTCCTCAACAAACAAGGGCATGGCTGTGAATCTGATATATGGGCCTTAGGCTGTGTAATGTAAGTACTTCCCTGCCTTTGAAATGTAATATATCTATCACTGGCTTAGGACTTCGGTGAATTAAAAGGGGATGCAGTACTGGCTCCATTTACAGCCTTTCATACATGTGTAGCTCAAATGCAGAAATTCATCATGTTGAGATGGACAAAGCCTTTTTTTGTAGCTGTAGGTACAAGTATGGTGGGTGTGTAAAATAAAATAGTTTTCCTTTGCCTTTAAACAGGTATACAATGCTGTTGGGAAGACCCCCGTTTGAGACTACAAATCTTAAAGAAACATACAGATGTATAAGGGAAGCAAGATACAGCCTGCCTTCATCTCTCTTGGCACCTGCAAAGCACTTAATAGCTAGCATGTTGTCAAAAAACCCTGAAGATCGGCCCAGTTTAGATGAAATAATGAGACATGAATTCTTCTTACAGGTTTGTACTGCCTGTTATTAGTGTTGAAAAAAAAAAAAGCCCAAAACATAAAAATTCACTCTGTGGTCTAAAAATCTTTTGTGCTGAATTTCCACAGGGCTTTACACCTGATAGACTGTCTGCAAGCTGTTGTCACACCGTTCCTGATTTCCATTTGTCAAGTCCTGCTAAAAATTTCTTCAAAAAAGCAGCTGCTGCTCTCTTTGGGGGTAAAAAGGATAAGGCCAGATACTTCGACACACATAGTAAGTTCAAGCCTAGAAACAGTCCACTTATGTCTATTGCATCAGTTTCATATTAGTATACATCAGTGAGATAGCAACAGAAAACTTATGTCTCAGAGCTTTTCTGGGTTGGTTTTGATTTTTTTTTTTTTCTTGGTAAGTATTGATGGTAGCCAGCCCACCTATGTGACCTTACATATGTGAATGCTTCTTACAGCATCCATGTCTGTATTGGTTGGCTGTTAGTTTGTAATGTCTGTTGAAATTTAGTCTCTTAAGTGATTTGTGTGTAATGGCATAATTTCTCTGGGAGACTATGGCAGGCTGAGAAGAAGCTGCTGGAGAGACAATTTGTTTTCTGCAGCTAACTTGTTATGCTTTCTATGATTCAATAGCACTTCCAGATTCAGAGTTAAGTATTTTTTTCCTGTGTTGCAGACAAGCTAGCTAAAGAAGATGAAGAAATCTACAAGCTCAGACATGATTTGAAGAAGACATCGATAACCCAGCAGGCCCCCAAACACAAGACAGATGAGGTATATGCCAGTGCAGTTCAATTCAAATCCAGTAACAGTTGGGTGGAGTAACTATAATTAAATTATATTTGACTTGGATATCAGAACTGGGGCTGTACACATCATAATCAAGCTTAAATGATTAGCAGAGTTGCTTTAAGAGGGCTTAAACAAGCATCACAAAGGTATGGTAGCCTTTGTAGGGAGACTATAAATTTTGGCTTTTGAGTAATTATAGTATCTGACTAGACTCCATTGTTTCCAGTGTGTTAACTTGTCTACCAGGTGCTATTTCTCAATATTCCAAATACAGGGTTTCAGTTCATGATTAACTAGACCTTTTTCAAATAAATTGCTGAAATCTATCTTTTACTATTTGGTGTTCAGACCTGCACACAGCTGCTCCCTTGCTAGGGCAGAAGAGCAGAGAACTGCAACTGTGAAATGCAAATTGAAGATCTAAAGAATGGAAAGACCTGGTGTGCTGCTTTAAGCTCAGTCTAGCAGCAGCTCTTTGTACTTTGTAATCTTGGTATATGAATACCAGTTTCCCTAGAATTTGTCATTTGTTGAGAAACAGGAGAGCCATGCAAAACTTGTGTATAAGCTTTGGCTTGTGTTATGTTTGATGTTTACATGTCTGACATCTCTTCTAGGAGATTCAGCCTCTTATCACAACAGTGGGGAAGCCGGGAGCATTGCCAGAAACCAAGCAGATTGGAGACTCCATTCGGATGATAGTCAGAGGAACTTTGGGAAGCTGCAGCAGTAGTAGTGAATGTAAGTGTAGCAAAATGTGATCTCTAAGTCTGAATCACACATTTATTTTTCTTAATCTTAAAAGATTGAAATAAACATCTGATTTTATCCTCTTACTTTTGATGTTGTAAAAACCAAAATTTTTTAAAAATTTAAATTAGAAATTTAATTTAAGAAATCATATTTCTTACAATATAGGTAACTGAAAGATTTAGAATGAAAATTTTCTCTGTGTGCTCTTGCCAGTCTAATAGTCCTTCCTTTTCAGGTTTGGAAGACAGTACCATGGGAAGTGTTGCTGATACAGTTGCAAGAGTATTGAGAGGATGTCTGGAGAACATGCCAGAAGCAGACAGCAATCCCAAAGAACAGCTGACAGCATCCTTCCAGTGGGTTACAAAATGGGTGGACTACTCCAACAAGTATGGCTTTGGGTACCAGCTGTCAGATCACACTGTTGGTGTTCTCTTCAACAATGGCGCACATATGAGCCTTCTGCCAGACAAAAAGTAAGAATCATTACAAAGCCAACAACTCACTAAGGCAGTTTTAAATGTGAAATCCTTTTTTCTTATCACTAACCTCCTTATTTTCTTTTTATCTCTTTCAGGACAGTGCACTACTATGCTGAGCTAGGCCAATGCTCTGTCTTCTCAGCCCCAGAGGCTCCTGAACAGTTCATCAGCCAAGTAACTGTACTGAAGTATTTTTCTCACTATATGGAGGAGAACCTCATGGATGTAAGTTCAGCACCTTCAGGGTCCTGAGTTGTAAGAATACACTAAATGTGTGAACTGAGTGCTTAACATAACCTGTTCCCTTTCTTAGGGAGGAGACTTGCCCAGCCTAACAGATGTACGCAGACCCAGGCTTTACCTCTTACAGTGGCTCAAATCTGATAAAGCTTTAATGATGCTCTTCAATGATGGCACGTTTCAAGTAAGTGTGTCAGCATCACCAGAGAAAATGTCTTAAAATACTTTATTGTAGTAAAACTAGCTAAGTCTCAGAAATAGAGAATGTAGACAAACAGCAGCTCACTTCTCTTTTACAGGTAAATTTCTACCATGATCACACAAAAGTCATAATTTGCAATCAGAGTGAGGAATATCTCCTTACCTACATAAATGAAGACAGGATATCCACGACGTTTCGTCTGACAGCTCTTCTGGTTTCTGGATGTTCATTGGAACTAAAACACAGAATGGAATATGCTCTGAACATGCTGCTGCAGCGTTGTAACTGAAGGAACTGACTCTGTTAAACCAAATGGACTCTTGTTCACTGTGAATCTACAGTGGAGATGGTGGAGCAACTAGTATGTTGATGATGGATGTGTGGTGGTACGAAAACTGGACTGTCCAAGTGTGCTGGGCACACATCTATTAGAAGCCTAAATCTACTTGATGGACTAAAGTGTTGTGACAAGGAGTTCTTCGGATCATAGTTTTCCTTGCTTCATGTGTGTTAAAGATATATTTAGACTTGAACTCGGAGCAGAGTGTGTGTTTGCTCTGTAGGAGAGCATCTCTGATGGAGTTAAACTGTGAATACACATCTGGAAAGGGAGGGAAGGGAGAGAGCTCCGTTGTTGGGGATAATTGTAACAAGCAGCTTCTGGTTGCTTAACTGTGAACTATGGCCATACTGTTTTTTTCCTTATTTTTCAAAAATACCCACACTTGTGGCTGGCAAAGTGCATTCCTTGTTAATTTTTTTTTAATTTATTACAGCCTAAAGTGAAGTATTTATTACTTTTTTTTTTTGACCTTGGCATTTTAAATATAAATCTGTTCGCAATAAAGAATGGAAATCTGAAGCATCATGTTCTATTCTTTCTCCAGTATAACTGAGTATGCTTTACATTGCATTACAAAAAATATTGCAGATTTGCTTTCTATATGCTCTTTTTAAGAAGTCTGGTACAGGTCTGTATATGAAGGTTTGGCAGGTTTGTCTGTGCCCACCTGCAGTCACAAGCACCAGCACAGCTCTTGTTAATTATAGCTGCAATCCTAAAACAACTGCTGATGGAGCCTACAGACTAATGATGTAGGCCTTGACACTTAGTTATATTCCTAAGGGCTTAAAATATGGATCTCTTCAAGATACTACATCCCAAAATTGATCTTTTACACTGAAAAGAACTCTTTCTTCTGGATAGTACATAGGCAACTAAAGGACAAAGAGCTGTGTAAGTTCTCTGCTTGCTGTGAAAGCATTGCTCTTATTAATGGACTGAGTATCCTGACACCTGAAAAGCAGAATGAATTCACCATACCTATCACTTCCCCTCTGCTGAGCTTTATTTGGTTATCCTTGGTTAAATGGTCACTACAGTAGAGTAAAATCAAAAGGGTGAAAAAATTAAAAGGTGACAGTGTTAACTTTGGGCTCTATCCAGCTGATAACTTTTAAAAACCACCATTGTTACTAAGACAAATTGCAATTTACTAAATACACTAATTTTTCTGCAAAGCAGTTCACAGCAGCTGAAACCAACATAGGGATTGCTGCTTTCTGCAATCCTACTGCTTTTAAAAATCCACTTATGTGAGTAATGGCTGTCCAAAACTGAAGGTAGTGCCATTTGTCAGTTAAAACTATACAAATAGGTGCTATTATGGATAAGTCATGGACTCCAGGCAGGGGGAAAATTGTCTCACTTTTGGGCTGAGCTTATTTCTCTTAGATATTGCATAGCACCTGGACCTGTGTAAACACATGGCTGTCTTCAGAACTGTTACTTGATGGAACAGCAAGCACTTAAATTGCTTACTTGACCTATTGTTCCTATAACTGAATGAGGCCTTTTCTGAAAGGCATCACTTGCTGTCAGTGTATCAATCACAGTGGCTGAATAAAAGGAACAGGCAGAGTAATAAAACACAGACTAAACAAAGTACAGATGTCAATCTGAAATAGTGGCTTGCTTCATCTTGCAGCAAGCATATATAAATGTGATTTGGTTTGTTCTATTGAGTACCATGCATTAGGTAATATTTATTTACTTCTCAAGTCTAGACAGGAAGACCCAATTGAGTTCTTCAGATGGATTCATTAATGTAACTCTAGGCACTTCAGTGAAGTTAAATATATACTTGCTATAGTGAGCAGAATTCAGCTTCCCAGCTGTCTACTTTCTTCAAGGGATAATGGCTGATTTCATTCCTGAGACGCCATAATTTACCTAATTCTGCTGCACACATACAGCTACCATTGTGTTCTTTTCCTTACAAAGTAAAATCTCCTTTTATTTATGACACAAACACACAGTTTGTGGGCATTTCAAACAAATTTACTAGAGCTATAGCAATTCCCATGGAAAAAACACTTTTTGTTCAACTGTGTACTAGTGAAAGTGAAAACCTTTATTCAGCTGCTATGATTTCTTTGGGTACCAAAATCATGCTTGTATGGCTGTAATTCAGGCTTGTGTAAGCAAATAAACCAGTTTTTAATGTAGAATATTTGAAAGTGTTTGTAAAGGCTCCAGGATGCTAGTTGTTTGTGGATGGTTGAAATACACCTTGCTAAAATAAGTTAAGTGAATCAGCTATTTGTATGCAATGTTTATGTTCACTGCTTGCTAAATCCTTATGTATCTTTCTGCTTAGTGCAGCTTCTTCTCTGTATCCTTACCTCACTTTTTATTTTCATAATGCAAAACAAGAGATATGTTTAGATCAGGTTAAGGAGAAATACTCTTTTCAAGGTACTTTGTCCTAGTCTCTGAGCCCAAGGAGAATTTTAAAAAGCCATTTTAAAATTCTTGGTATAAGAACTTAAATCAAGAACAAAGGTTCTGAAATCCTTTCTCAGGGTGGATCCTGTCTTAAATAAGATACTGTAGTGCACTACTTGGCCTTCTTTACTTAAACAGGTAACTCCCTCTTGTAATTCTGCATATAGGAAGATAAATGTTAGAAAGGCACTTGTCTATATCTTCTGTATAACAAATGTCTTACCTTCTCTTGAAAGATACGATATGGATTTTATGCTGGTCCAGCAATTGTTCTAATAATCACTTATATTGAAACCAAAAGAAAATACAGCATAAACTCTAGTTTGGGAGTATATGTACTTGAAAGGAAATGTGAGGACTAAAAGATTAGGTGAAAGCACATATGTTTGTCAGGTATGAATACTGGACACAATGAAATTTCATTGACAAGAAAAAAAATGTGTTGTACTTACACTTATCAAAACATCTTTATGAAGTTTGAAAATACATTTTTGCAAGCATATATACATGTATGACTGATACACTAATCTGCTGGTAGCAAACAAGTAAAGAAAAATATGCAAACAGGCCACGCTATTAATCCATTAACAAAATGCATTACCCACTGATGCCACAAGTAACTCAAGTATTCTAGGGCATTCTGTAATCTTTTCCAGGGGTCTGAAATTATTCCATTTCATTAAGTTGCTATATATAATACATAAGAGAAAAAAGAAAAGTTTAGGTATATGCTACTTTGCAATATTGAATGAAGTTCCCAACATTCTCCACTTTACTTAGGAAACTAGAAAAATATTCTGTTACTTTAAAGCTATTTCATTACTTTTGAAAATAACCATATCACAGAATGATCCTTCAGCTGCCCATCAATAACAGGTAACTTTATGCCTGATTAAATGGATTCTAAATGTAAATTTGAATTTTTAAAAATTATAGGTTTTTATAGATAATTATGAACTCCCATCTAGTGCATACCCAAGGAATCAACCAGAGTCATGCATGGCATAGGCCATTGCTTTGGTCTGGTTTTATAATCTTTATGCCTTATGAACATCAATAGTGGCAGAAATATCTTCAATTGAATCGCCACTATGTTAGACTAGGACATACAGTTAAGAGGTTAAACTCCACTTAAATGTACATTTAAATATATATATTTGGTAATAAATATCATGGATCATCATGGTATTTGGAAATTAGGATAATGGAAAGTAAAGATTTAGCCTCTGAGATTTATCCATGTAAATTAGCTTAGGTATGGGAACACAACTGATTTGAAAGATTCTGTTTTACTGGCTATACTAGCAAACATTGCCAATTTTTTTTCTATACTTTGAAATCATGGATAAAAACACCTCATTTTCTCTTGTCCATAACAAGTAAATGTGATGTGAACAGGAATAAGTTATTATCCCAACTGATATTTTTAGGCACTTTCCTGCTTAATATTGGAAGAAACACCTTAATCCTCATGATGAAAACATAAAAGTCTTAATGAAATCAGCATGAGGCATTATTAGTACCAAACTGACCCAGGTAAAGAGTTACTAAACACTTTTTCTTCAGAAGTAAAAAAGCAATAAGGTATTTCACAGCCCCCTCCACTAAGGATTCTGAGTGGAAGACCTGAATGAACTTACCTAGCACTTTGGCAGTTTGTAGCTTGATGTCTTTTGTGGCAGGCCAGAAACAAAGACTAATCCACTCTCTGCCTTCCTTACTTATATTGAATGATCATGAAAATGACTGCCCATTTTCTTCTGATGGTTTCAAAGGTTACATAAAGGAAAACGTAAATCAAGCATTAGCACAAGAGACTGGATGGGTGCATCAATGTCTCTCTATACAACGAGAATCTTAGGCAGAAGTGGACTTCTTTTTTGTATCATTCCCCACCCTGAGGAATAAATGCCAGGTCATTTAAATTGCTTACCTGGATTTGAGATCTTTGAGGCTGATAACCTATCACACAACTAGGTTTTCCAGGACAAAGTTTCCAAAGTGCTAAAGTAACACAATTACCCTTTAGAACCTGGTCATCTAGGACACCATTCTTGTGGACCTTTCTTCTGAAGGATTGAATTCCCAGTATTTCACATCAAATGACCACAACAGCAATGGTGTTAATACCATGAATAAAAGAAGCTTTGAAGTCACCTTTTCAATCTCCCTGCCAACTCCAGAAGACCTCACCTGCTCCTGGTAATGCTTCTCTGGTTTCACAGACACAAGCATTAGAATCAAATTAATAGTAAACTCTGACAACTCATGAAAATTCTATATATATGACACTTTATGCTCATAAAGTAGGCTCTGATTCATAGCTTATAAGATTTTTTTTTCCTTATTTATTGTAAACAATAAATTTTAATGTAGCTTTATTGTTTTGGAATAGCCTTCACTGGAGGAATGAAACTAACAAGGCTTTTTTAGTGGGATTCTGGATCCAATGGATTAAGACTGCTGGTTCTGATGGCAGAAATGGGAAACATAATGCATTATAAAGTAGACTGTGGCAGAGGAGGAAAGGCAATGAGAGCAGGAGAAAGGAACCAAGGTTATGCCATCAAAGCAAGTTTAATCTTCTATAGAAAGAAAAAAAAAGCAATTTGCCTATCATCCTCAAGGCCAGCTTCTCATGCCTGCCGTTGCATTAAGTCATGACTAGCTGCAGTAAAATATGCATGAGGTGCAATAAGTGGGCAGAACAGGAAAGGCTGGACTTTTTAGTACAGGAAAATCCAAGGCAGCTGAGACAAACTCATGGTAATTTAAATGCCTTGTAGTATATATTAACTCAGGCTGCAACAGTTATGTTTGATGTTGCTTTACATAGAAAATTTTAAAAACTAGCCTGATTTTCAGATGCCCTTACCTCTGCTAATAATGAGCACCTGTGGAAATGAAAGTGGATGGCTTCTGCTTCCAATCAAGGTTAGATATCTCATAAAAGGACACAGAGCACAATAGTGTCAGGCAGTGGTTATGGAAAGAGGAATGTACGCAGAACAATTATAGGATTATTCAGTAGTATATGATGCTGTTTCTGTCTCTCTAAGCATTTGCTCTGAACTCATCCTCACATCTGATCATCTTCACTTAATGTCAGTTCCTTCTTGTTATTGTTAATTACAAATAATTAGAAGGTTAGCTAGGGAGGGTGAGTCGTGGCACAAGGGGTATGTGGGAAGATGGGTTTACAGTGGGGTTCTGGAAAAAGTGAGGGAGCTTGTAACACCAGGAGGAAGGGAAGGTGCTGGAGAGCCGTGACTCACAGGAGGGAGACCTGGGATGGAAACATGAGGGAGGGCGGGCTGGGGCAGGTGGAGGAGAGGATATTTTGGGAGGCAGAGGCCCCATTTTGAACTCTCCCCCGGAGCACCTGTGTTGAGGAAGAAGTGGTGGCGGCGGGGCAGGCGGGAGGACGAGGCGTGGCGGG